AAAAAAAAAAAAAATTATATGGTTTGAATTAGCAAGTGGGAAGGATTACATAACAGTAGCAATGAAGCTCTAGGACCTTATTTCATCCATCCCTTTTTCTTGCCAGGTGGGCGCTTACCCTATCCAGACACCATATTTGCTTGACATATTTGGACTGTCTTAACAAACTCTCTTCAAGGGGGAAAAAGTAGAAGCAATAAATCCTTAACAGCGCTGACGGGGTCTTTTCTACAAAATCCTTGATGATGGACATGGGGGAAAAAGTAGAAGCAATAAATCTCACGCTAGCAAAGACAATATGGAAAGGACATCAGGGTGAAGTTCTTCCTTTGGGAAATAGTGCATAAAGCCATCAACACAAGTGAAAATCTTCAAAAAAAGAATGCCTTACATCACTCTCTCTCAAAATTGGTGTCCACTATGCAAGAAAGCAAATGAATCACAAAGTCACTTGTTTATGCAATGCACATACACTCAAAATTTCTGGACAACGATTCTTAATATATTCGGATGGCATCTCACATTTCCAAGGGAGGTAAAGGATTTTTTGGATATGACCTTAACGTACCACCCTTTCAAGAACGCAAAAACCCTATTATGGAAAAACCTCATCATGGCTTTCTTTTGGAATCTGTGGAAAGAAAGAAATCAGAGAATATTTGCAGAAACGACACAAACCTACACAAAACTTTTCGACAATGTTGTTTACCAAGCTATATCTTGGTGTAAACTGTCTGATATTTTTACTTCCTATAGTTATACCTCCCTCATTGCAAATTGGGAAGGTCTTTCGTAAACATCATGGATCCCTCTTGTAAATTTCACTCATCAATGAAATTGTCTCTTATAAAAAAAAAACAAACTCTCCCTGATAATCCATTTGGCAAGCCATTGAAGAACTTCTCAGCCTCAAAACAGATCTATCCATGTCTACCAGCTTCGATATAAGCAGAAACAAAGTCCCAATAAGAATATAGCTAAAATCTCTACCAGCCCGGACAGTAGAGAAAGAACGGCGTCTAAACTCTAAACTCTAAAGCCTCTCCTCCTCCATGGTCAAAGGAAGGGACCAAGGTAACTCTAATCTGCCATCATGAAATGGTGAAGAAAAGAAAGGAGGATTTGAAATTCATAAGACAAAGCTCAAAACCTTACCGTGAACTTTTTGGAGAATTGGATATTCTAAGTAAGGGTGCACTATAAATTTAGGCAATCATTTAATGGGTACAACAACGAAAATGCAACTGCACAAATGACTCGCACTTAATGATGGTAGCCTACTTCAATATCAAGTGAGATCTAGCTCTAATCTTTTAAGGATGACCTGCACAAATATCCTATCTCCAAAACTTATAGTCAGTGACTAAATAAACCTTCATTATCTTCAAAATCAGAGAGTACATACAACACAGCTTATCTGAGACGCGGCAGACACAGTTCATGCATTTAAGATTTTTTTTATTTTTTTTTTTTCAAAGGACTCAACGCCGCTAAGCAATTGATGTGATGTCGATGAACTTTTAAACAAAGAGCAAATAAAATAAAATAAAATAAAAAAACGAACAAGAAAGACAAACCTTTGTGGTGTAGACTTTGTCACCATTGTCGTTTATGTAATACATAAGATACATCGTTGCTAAACACTCAACCTGAAAAAAAGTTCGGAGAAAAATCAATTCATTCCACAAACTTAATGCAAAAGCCCTAAACACAGAAGATTTGAATAACATCCATGGATAACTGAAAGAAAAATCTACAATCCTGAATTCATATGAACGATAAACATATCCAACGAGCAGTGATAATTACCTAATATTCGAGGGTTTTGGAAATCAATACCAGAAGAAAAACCTTACCGCTTGAACGAAGAACTGGAAAATGGCGGGATACAAGAAATCACGAAGCTAGGGTTTAAGAACCTGTTTAAATCCACTGGAAAGGCTATTTTCGTCTTTTCATTCCTTTTTCCTTCTTTTTCTTAATTTTTCGGTTTTATTATAATTTAGAACAAACCTTTTGTTTTTTAATTTGTAAAAAAAAAATAAAAAAAATAAAACAAAAAGTGTTTAAAAATATTTATAAGTAATTAAAAAATAATTTTGCTCTCATTTTTTCAAAATAAATACTAAAATTTTTAGCTTGCTTTTTTTTTAATTCCTTTCAATTATATTTTTTTTCTATAAAAATTTTAATTTTTAGTTAAATTATAAAATAATTTTTTAAAATTTTTAAATATTAACTTACAAAAATAAACTTACCAATGTTTATAAATTTAATTTTTTAAAACTACATAATTATAAGAAAAATAGATAACAAAATAAATAATCCCATAAATAAAAAAAAATTTAAATTTAATTTAAATTTTAAATTTCGATGTATAATTTTTTTTTTTTCACTTTATTATGTCTTTAGCAAAAATAAATAAATATTTTTGTAATTACTTAAATATTAAATTTAAACGCAAAAAAGAAATTTGAATATTTATCCAATTTCGTATTTTTTGGGATATCGAAGAAGGGCAAATGAGTAAATTCGGTTCTCACAGTACAGTTGACCTTCTGGAGCAACCATTGTTCGAAGCCACGTCTGTGTGCACCTTCGTGTTTGATGCCTTCTTCTCACCTTAATTCCATTAAATTCAATTTTGTTTGGAAATCCATTCCCCCACTTCCATTTCTTTGAATCCTCAAGCTTTCTGTGAATCAATCGCCATGTCGTTTGAGGAGGACGAAGAGACCTTCGAGCACACTCTCCTTGTTGTTCGTGAGGTTTCCGTCTACAAAATCCCTCCTCGAACCACATCCGGCGGCTGCAAATGCGGCGAGTGGCTACAATCCGACAAGATCTGGTCCGGCCGCCTTCGTGTTGTGTCGTGTAAGGACCGATGTGAGATCCGGTTGGAAGATCCGAACTCCGGTGAGCTTTTTGCTGCTTGTTTTGTTAATCCGGGTCAGAGGGAGAACTCCGTTGAGGCCGTTCTTGACTCCTCGCGATACTTCGTTTTGAAGATCGAGGATGGCCAGGGTAAGCACGCTTTTGTAGGTTTAGGTTTCGCTGAACGAAATGAAGCTTTTGATTTTAATGTGGCACTGTCCGATCATGAGAAGTATGTCAGGAGGGATCATGAGAAGGACCCGACTGGTGGCGGCGATGTCAATGAAGAGAGCCACATTGATATCCATCCTGCTGTGAATCACAGATTGAAGGTATTCATTCCTCTGGTTTTATTTTCACCAAGCAATGAAGATGATTGTCTGCTGGGTTCTTGATTATGAACTGATCTTATTAATGAAATCTTCTGATCCAACCATTTGGAAAACAAATCATTCACATGGAAGGTTAGGAATCACGAACCTCCACAATGGTATGATATTGTCTACTTTGAGCATGGAAAGCCTATATGAATTCCTTAGTTATAACATCAACCCCTTAATTAGTCTAATTAGTCGACGTGGGAATCCTCTCCCAACAATTCTCCCCTCGAACAAAGTACACTATGGAGCCTCCCCTGAGGCCTATGGAGCCCTTGAACAACCTCCCCTTAATCGAAGCTCGACTCCCAACAATTCCCCCTCGAACAAAGTACGCTATACAGCCTCCCCTGAGGCCTATGAAGCCCTCGAACAGCCTCCTTAATCGAGGCTGACTTCTTCTCAAGAACCCTCAAACAAAGTACACCCTTTGTTCCACACTCGAGTTGCTTTTGACTACACCTTTAAGGCCACAACTTCTTTGTTCGACATCTGAGGATTCTATTGACATGGCTAAGTTAAGGGCATGACTCTGATACCATGTTAGGAATCACGAACCTCCACAATTGTATGATATTGTCCACCTTGAGCATTAGCTTTCATGACTTTGCTTTTGTTTTCCTGGGCCTTATACCAATGGAGATGTATTCCTTGTTTATAAACTCATAACATTTTATAGCTTGTAGCTTGCAAGTAATTACTATGAGTAGCTGTGAAATCATAACGTTTTATATTGACATTGTGATTGTGCTTCTTTACAATGGGCTGGATGATAGGAAGGTGAAACAATTCGGATCAATGTGAAGCATAAACCATCTAGTGGAACTGGTATGCTATCAGCTGCTGGCTTGTCAGGGTCTGGTACTGGAAAGCCAAAAACTCTGAGCCTTGCTCCACCACCAACTGGAGCTAGGAAAATCAGTTCTCCTCTTCCACCCCCTCCAAATGATCCAGCTGCGCGGAAATTATCTGCCAGCACGTGTCGGGATGTCGGTCGTGAAGGAAAAAGAGACAATGTAAGCACTGCGAGCAATCCTTTATCAGATCTTTCCCAACTTGAGGTATAGTGTCTACTGCTAGTTGCTCATTTCCTGACAGAGAAACATGTTTGATGAGGATAATGTCGTTCTTAAGTAATATGAATTGACTCTTTAACTTACATATTATGGTTCCTCTGTCCTTTATGCACAACCCATTTAAATCTAGATTAGTTTTATGAAACACGTTACTAAGTTTGATTCGACTCGAGTATTGGTTTCTCTCCTTTGTGATTGGAATTGACTGCTATCTTAGATTCTTATTGTGATATCTCACATTGGTTGGAGAGGGGAACGAAGCATTTACTATAAAGGTGTGGAAATCTCTCCTTTGTGATTGGAATTGACTGCTATCTTAGATTCTTATTGTGATATCTCACATTGGTTGGAGAGGGGAACGAAGCATTTACTATAAAGGTGTGGAAATCTCTAACTAGTAGGCGCATTTTAAAAACCTTGAGGGAAAACCCAAAAAGGACAATATTTGCTAGTGATGGGCTTGGACTGTTGCTAGTGATGGGCTTGGACTGTTGCTAGTGATGGGCAGTGTGCCAGCGAGGACGTTGGGTCCCCAAGGGGGTGAATTGTGCAATCTCACATCAGTTGGAGAGGGAACAAAGCATTCCTTATAAGGGTGCGGAAACCTCTCCCTAATAGACGCGTTTTAAAAACCTTGAGGGAAAGTCCAAAGAAGACAATATCTTCTAGTGGTGGGCTTGAGCTGTCACAAAATGTGGTAATAGAGCCAAGCACCGAGCGGTGTGCCAGCGACGATGCTAGGCCCCCAAGGGAGGTGGATTGTGAGATCCCACGTTGGTTGGGGAGGAGAACAAAGCATTTCTTACAAGAGTATGGAAACTTCTCCCAAAAAAACGTGTTTTAAAACCTTGAGGGGGAAGTTCGAAAGGAAAAGCTCAAAGAGGAAGTGTCTAGTGCGACGGAGTTTATTGAGTTTTTCAAATGCTTGAGCTATAGCCTTACGATTTCTTATTTCTTGAAGATAATCTGATATCGATCCACATTCTTTAGGTTCACTTAGAACATACATGAGTGCATGTATCCTTAGGAACTCATGTCAATGAACAAATCTAGAACAATTTTAACTCGTGATTCGTCGCATTTGCAGAGAAATCTTCCTTCGGCGCCGAGTTCGACAACAGCAGCAGCATCAGGATGGGCGGCATTCTGATCAAAGTAAGCTGGTGTTTGTTATTTAAAACAAAAAGTCTTAGTTTTATGTAATCTTCATTTTTTGTTCCTCTTGAGGGTGAAATGAGAGGGGAGGAGGAATGAGATGGAAGGGAAGCTATAAGTGATAATACCATATTGGAAAATAATCTTGGAATACTTATGTATACTTCTCCACTTATTTTCCCTATCTATCTTGAGTTGTCTCTTTAGCCCTTTTGCTTCTGTTCTTCATTGCCTTCATTTCATTTTGCCATTTTGCCATTTTGCCATTTTGCTATTCAACTCATAAAAGGATGGAGCGAAGTCCGCTCCATGTATATAATACAGTGGTAGGGGTATATACGGATTGAGTTGAGTTGAAAAAATCTTTTTGACCAATTCGAAATTTCGGATTAGTTGAGTTGGTGATTGAATTTTTGTTTTGTTTTTTTTTAATTATTTTTTTAAAAAAAATTACTTTTCTACTATATATACGATGCATTAATAATTTAAATTTCATAAAGTTCAAATATAAAACATTTACGAGTCATAATGCATCAGTAACATCGATTACAAACGTCAAATATTCTTAATTTTTTTTTACAAGTAGGGTAGGTTTGAGTTGGACTGTGACCCTATTCTCAATCGAACTAAATATTTTTATCTTCCAAAATTTCAACTCAAAAAAAAAATATATACTAACCTAATCTAACCCATTTATTTATGATTTGGAATTTGATAGTTTAGGTTGATCGAGACATCGGGCCATTTGAACACCCTTAAGGAGCTAGTAAGTTATTGAAATTACCTTGATAAAGAAAGGTAAAGACATACGAGTCCATTGTCATCTCCTAGAATGTCATTTCAAGTACAAGTACGTCTTTAACATATAAGCATAAGTTTTCAATATGCCTCAAATTCTCTCTTTAGTTCAAGGATGTGTCATGACTTCAATATTATAATTATTAAATTTAGTGAGATTTATTCTTTAACAAAGTTTTAGGTCTCATTTGGATGCAGAAAAAATTAGTCGAACTATCTATATTCGCCCGTTTAGTTATGCTAAAATCGACATATATGTCGTAATGCACCTCAAATGTTATCAACGGGCACTCATAATGGGTTGAATTGTAACCTAATAAATATACCATAGACTATAGTAATTACACAAACAAAACAAAACAAAAAAAAAAAAAAAATTGAAATGATAACAGGAATGGAAGAGCATGTCTGGATCTTGATGGAATGGTCAGGTTCCTAGTCTTTCATGAACCGAAGGAACATTTAAATTGCAATAAACAATTCGTCTACATCTACAAACTGAAATTTTGCCTACCCATCATCATCCATGATCAAACACTCTACAAATTGAATCACCCACAATCTGCTTCCAGTTAGGTCCGGTTAACTGTACACGGTATCATTGTCCTGTGAGGCATAGCTCGGTTAGTAAAAGAAGGGAAGAATAGAAGGAACAGTTTAACCTTTCATAAACGTTTCTAAACCATGCTGTGAGTAGAAATCTGTTAGAATATTGAACAAAAATGAGACCTAAACCAATATGGTGGCCTCGATTTCGTTCAAGATTCTAACGTATTTCTATTCTCAATAGTAGTTTAGAAAAGTTTATGAAATCAACTATTTTTTAAACAAAAAAACAAGTTCTTAACTGAGCCTACACAAAATTCCAACTGAGAAAGTCAGGAGTGGAAAAGGCCCGGAGTGATAGGTACCATGGAAGTATAAACTAACTGAGCTTAGATTACTGTTTATACTCTGCCTTCAGAACCCAGAATGATCCACCGGGGCTTTTCTCTAATATTGCTATCTCTTTCAGCAGATTCTTAAACAAGGGCAAATCGTTTGAGGGTATCCTCTCCTTAAAATGCTGTACAATACTGGCTGAATCAGCGGATCCGCCTCTTTGTTGAATAAACGTACATATCTGCCGAATCAATACTTCGGGTTGTACTCCAGAAAGGTTCTTCGATGATCGAGAAGAACCGACACCGGCACCTCGTACGTTGTTTGAACTACTTGAAGGAGCTGGTTGATGATGTTCAAGCCCAGCGCTTAATGCTCTTTCTTGGTTTCCTCTGATTTTAGCCAGAAGCTCAGCTGAAGATAAGGCCTTTCCGGAAGATGTTCCAGCTGCAAGGCCATTTAAATGGCTAGCTCCATTTCTTGATGCTTCATCTGGAGATTTGGATTTGTTGTTTACCAGAGAGTTGACGGTTGAACCGAACTTCCGACGCACGGACGATGGCGCACCAGCGGTTCCAGCTTTTCCAGTCCATGTTGGAACTGAGATACGCTCGTTACTTCGTAGAATTCTAGACTGGCGCAATGCCTCGGCTGCTCTACGTGCAACTTGAGAAGCTTGCTCCTCTAGTCGTATCTTCTCCCCATCATCAGCGTTAAAAATGATATCATGATTAACGGCGCTCTGCATATCGAGAAGGATGTAAAGCAAACCAAAAGAAAGAGGAGGAAAAACAAAAACGAAACAACTGTACAGAAAATTTCAGCATCTCGACTGTGGTCATCAGGACTAAGGACCAGTTTAGAAAGTCATTCCAAACAAACTCCAACAATACACGTGAAAATGCATATAAAAGATCGAAAAAAAAGGAGAGACTTACATGAATACCATGCGCATCAAAGAGGCTCTTCAAGATATTTTCGTTTTCGTCTGCTCCACGACCCTGACCCATCTCTACAGAATCATCTCTTCCAGAAGTTTCAGTCTCTGATTTGCATGGTTTTTCATCAGCAGAATCTGCATACGATACCGAGCCACTGCCAGTTTTTTGTTCGTCCTTCTCATTTTTCTGAACGCCAACAACATTTACACTATCGGTCAACTCACTGAAAATATTCGACGTTTCTGTCGATCCATCCACCGCATCCTCGTTCAGTGTAAAGAGATCTTTCATGTCTCTAGCCTTAAAGAACCTTCTCTGCTGTGGGTTTTTTAAGATCTTATTAGTGAGAAAATGTTTATATATCTGTCGATGGTACACTTTCTCCTCTATAGTTCCACGAGTGATCAATCTATACACCGTCACATCCCGCTGTTGACCAATACGCCAAGCACGCTCCCTTGCCTGTAATCGGAAAAATCAATGACTAAATTAGATTCGAATCACCCTATAGCAGAGAATAGGAACAAAATCTTCCATAATATTGTAATAAGCAGAAAGATACAAAAGACGCTGACTCCTAAACTGCAAGAGGGGGAGTACAGTAGTGCAACATAGTTTTCCTAGTTTAAACAAAGTGATGAACCTCAATCGAACATTTCCGAACAGGTCTCGAACAACTACTTCCATAGATTAAAATTGAAAATCAGAAACATGACATATTACCTGCATGTCGGTTGACGGATTCCAATCAGGGTCGAAGATTATAACCCTATCTGCTCCAGTTAAGTTGGTTCCTAGACCACCAACCTTGGTTGTTAAAATAAAAACAAACACCTCACATGAATTGTTGAATTCATCAATCAAGGCCATTCTCTGTTTGACAGGAGTACCACCATCCATCCTCCTATAAGTATAACCACCTCCAACCATAAATCGCTCTAAAATGTCAAGCATCTGTTGGGTCTGCGCAAAAAGAAGAACACGATGACCTTGCTCCTTCCAGACCTTCAGCACTTGCTCAACCACCTTCATTTTTCCACTACGTTCAGGATTCCCGTAGTCGGGATTTTGGAAAGAGTGTTCTCTCTCGAGTAGATCTGGGTGGTTGCAAATTTTACGCATTACATCAATTCCAGAAAGTGAATTTCTATTCCCATCCAAAATACTTTCCACTTCAGAGCTTGCAAGGAATGCTCTATAGACAGAACGTTGCTCAGAAGTTAGACTGCAGAAGAGAACGTGTTCGGTCTTCTTTGGCAAATGAGCATTCACATCAGCTTTCATCCTTCTAAGAAGATAGGGCATAATTAAGTCACGAAGAACGACAGCGCACCTGCATAGTGAGAACATAAAAGGTAGATAATGTTAAGCCACTGAAGGAGAAGGGAGAGAGAACACGAGATCAAAGAACTACCTCCATTCCCTTTTTTCATTAAAACGTCTTTTAAGTATCATCATGATAAACCCGCCCCGTATAACTACCAGCATCATAGCTCAATTAGTAAGCCCACAAGGAATTTGTAATCGTTAGTAACCTCTCCTAAAGGCCAAAGAATCAAAACAAAGTACACTTACAAATTCTAAACATTTGCCAGAAAAGAGGAAGAAACGAGGGGAAAACAATAAAAATAAGAACTCAAACGTCGACAAAAATTTCACAACATTTACCTATATGCAGTTGATACTTGCAACGGAGAGGCATTAGCATAGCCACCAACAGATATAGGAACTGCAAACTCTGCTTCAAATACAGGCAACACCCCCAACTTCCCAGGGAAAACGAAATCAAACAAGGACCACAACTCAGTCAATTTGTTCTGGATTGGAGAACCAGTCATGATTATGCGATGTACTGTCTGTAGCTGCTTGCAAACTAAAGTGACTTCAGCATTTGGATTTCGAATACGATGACCTTCATCCAGGACTGCATACCCCCATTCAATGTCAAGCAACTTCCCACCTAACAGTCGTAGTTGTTCATAAGTGGTAATGAGCATACTGGATTCTGATCTCAAAACACGGTTTATCAAGGAATCCCATTTTTTTGTGCCTTTGGACTGTGAGTTTTTCCCATAATCACTTTCCTCTGAATCTTCACTTTCATCACTTTCATAAGATTTCTCTCGCATCTTCCTGTAAGTGGGATCATGAGCAGAATCATGAAGGATTTCCACCAAAAGGTCCGGGCACCATTTCCGTGCCTCCCTCTTCCACTGTCTAACTAGTGTAACAGGGCAGACGATGATGCTTGGTTTATAAATGTTACTGAAATGTAATGCACCTAAAAAGGCCAAGACCTGGACCGTTTTCCCAAGGCCCATCTCATCTCCAATAATTCCACCAGCCCTTTGGCAGTGCAATTCCCATAACCACTGGACCCCAACTTTTTGGTAATCGAAGAGCTGATCAAATATGCTCTGAGGAATTTTCAGCCCGCCTTCAAGCGTTACAGAAGAAGGTTCGTTAACATCATCTTCTAAATCTCCTGAATCTTCTCTTTCAGAACCTGATGTATGTAAACCATCTGACATATTCTCTGCAACATGAATAACACAATCAGGTACAAATAAAAATGTTCTTCGAAGCATAT